ATATTTCCCCATCAGAAAGCGATGAATTCTTATGCTAGGTTCGATGTCTGTTTTTCATAAATTCTAGGATCCTAGCTTAGGGAATGGTGCCATGAATAGTGGGTGGGTCTTCCTACTTCTATTAACCTGATCAAGTTAATCCCTCACAGACAATTCTCAGAGGCTCATCTCCTAAGTGATTCTAGATCTTGTCAAGTTGATAATCTGACTTTGTGATGGTTAATTTCAGTTATCAACGTGTGTGTGTGTGTGTGTGTGTGTGTGTGCGCGTGCGCGCACACACACACGTGCGCATGCACATGCCATGGTGCATGTGTGGAGGTCAGAGGAGAACTTTCAGGAGTCAGTTCTTGCTTCTGCCTTGTTGAGGTAAGGTTTCACTGGTTTCTGCTGCGTGTACTCGGGGCAGTTGGCCTGGGCAATTCTGTCTCCACCCCGTCTCACCCTAGGAGTGTTGACTTTACAGGTACGTGCTACTGCAGCTGGCTTTTTATATAAGTTCTGGGGACCAGATCCAAGTCTTCAGACTTGCTTGGCAAATGGTTTTACTCGTAGAGCCACCTTAGACGCTTCAGTCCTTTTCTGTGAGTACCTTCAGGAGTGAAATGGTTGGGAGGGGAATAATTAGTCCACAGGCCTTGCCACACTCACCACTTCCACCAAACAAATGTATTTATTTTTCAAATAACAAATTATTATTAGGGTTTTCATTAAGCTTTTGTTCGTTCCAATAACAGATTTTGTCTTATGTAATGTAGTTCAAAAGCGTTACAAGTCACAGCTCCAGATTCTTGGAAAGAGATATGTTGGAAGAAGACTGTAACATTCATTCAACTAGTATTTGAATGCTCTCTGTTCTAAACTCCAAGAAGACTGCAGTGAAGTAGAGCCCCACTACTGCTTATTGGGAAAGACAGGTGTTAAACAGATGGTAAAAATGAGATGAACTTTAGGAAAGATAGAATATAAGTGTCATAACGATATGTAGCAAGGAACTCAACCTGGTCTCAAGAGCAGTGATTCACAAATCTGATTGGCTATTAGAATCATTTGAAGAAAATTGCTAGTCTCTATCCCATCTTAGACATCTCTTTTCTATGCCCAGATGGGAATTGCTAGTCCCTCTGAGGAAGGACAGGAAAAGTATCAAGCAGACCTTCCTGATGAAGTTACTTCATGTAATAGATGCCAGAGCAGCTTTGCAAGTTGAGGGAACATTGTGTAAGAAGGTCTGGGATAGAGAGAAAATGAACAAGGCTGTGTCCAAAACTTGGAAGGGAGAAGTTGTCTCAATACACATGTTTCTGATGTAGCATTTATCATGCTTCAGTAGTGGCTGCCTTCCAACTCTTAAGTTCCTTGATAACCCAGATACTGTGAATATAGCTGCAATACTTAGTGCCTGATAGGAACTGGAAATATTTATGATCAGGTGAATAAAATCTCTTTACTTCAGAGTAGGAAGAGGAAAAGAATTGCTAGTGATTATGAAATGAAATAGTGACTCAAGAACTTTGTTCTTGTTTTGAGACAGAATCTGGCCTTGAACTTGGAAATATTCCTGTCTCAGCGTCTTGAATTCTGGAATGACAGTTATGTACCACCACTCCTGGCTAGGAGTCTCTTTTTAAGCCTAGGAAAAATGAGATTTTATGAAAAAAAAAAATGGTACCAAACTGATCTGGTTATACATATGTGGGAGTTGCTTTGCCGGCCCTCTCTCGGTAACCCTGTAACCCTTCTTCTGTTTTACTGTCTCCTGTCTATTCATATCCATCTGGAGAGCTACCTTTTTTGTTGTTTTTAAACTACCTGTTTTTCTTTAAAGTGCTGGTACCTGACCTCTCTTTTCTTCTGTCTGTTCTAAAGGTGTGGGCCTTCCCCATGCTCCCAGCACTGATGCAAACCCCTTGTAGCAAATGCTGAACTAGTGGTTTCAAGCAGAGTTTTAAGAGGTCCTCTCCCTGGCTTTGTCATCCTAGTCCATTGTACCACTTTTTTTCTTTAGTGTCTAAAGCTTGAGAAAAGAAGGGTTGGAATCCAGACACATCAAAAGATTGAACTTTGAGAGCCAACAGGGAAGGAAAAAGTGTACAGGTATAGAGACTCATCAAGTGTGCTTGGCTTCAAGTACATTCCTGCTAATAGTCACTTAGATAGGTAAAAGGCAGGGCCACTAACTGCAAAGGGAAAGGGAGGTGAAATGAAGGTAAGTATGAAATGATCTTAGGGTACTGAGTAGAGAGAGTGCTGATAGAGAAGAGAGAGTTGAGTTGTGTTTTGGTGGAAGTTGATGACTCTATGATGGTATCAATGTACTAGGGCTGTGACTTTCTCATTCTTTCAGTAATGCTTAGCTGTTTGAATATAAACACTATGTGAGAAAATGGTGGAGTTGGGTTAGCCAGAGTTGAATTTTATTAGGGGAGTGTGAAAGGGGAACTCCTAAAGATGAATGTATTCATAAAGAGGAAGTGAGTGTGCTGTGGGTAAGGGTCAGTACATTAGAGAGGGTTATTTAAAGATTTAGTGTGTGTGTGTGTGTGTGTGTGTGTGTGTGTGTGTGTGTGTTTGTATGCTGTGTGCATTCAGTGCCCACAGAGGCCAGAAGAGGAGGACATCAGATCCCCTGGAGCTGGAGTTACAAGTAGTTGTGAGTCACCTGATGTAGCTGCTGGGAGAATTGGGTCCTCTGGAGGAACAGCCAGTGCTCTTAGCTGCTGAGACCTCTCTTTAGCCTCCTAGTTGGAGGTTTTAATTAAGCTGAAAAGTCATTTCTTTTTTTAAAAAAAGATGTATTTAATGTGTTTTTGTGTGTGTGCTGTGTGTTTGGAGGTCAGATCTCTCCTGTCACTTTGTGGAATCTAGTGATTGAACTCAGGTCATTAGGCCTGCTTACAAGAATTTTTGCCTGCTGAGCCATCTCACCCAGACCTGAAGAGTCATTTGGAAAGGAATTTAAATAGGCCAGTGAAGATAATTAATGCAAGATGGTATGTGGAAAGAGTGAAGAAACTGAGCTATGGGGGCTTAATCTTCACTGAGCATGAGATCCAAAAGGCATAGTTTTTATTCATGTAAACATTTTTTAAAAAATTTAAAACATTCATCTATTCTCTCTGTGTGTATATGGGTGTGTATGAATGCCGGGGCATGTATGGAGGTCAGAGGACAACTTTCAGGAGTTGGCGCTCTCCTTCTGTCATGTAGGCTCTAGGGATTGAACTTAGGTCATCAGGCTTGACAGTGTATACTAGCATATACTTTATCTGTTGAGCCGTCTCTCTCACTTATCCTGTTTTTTTTTAATTTACATGTATGAGTGTTTGCCTCTATGTATGTATATGCACCTTGTGTGTTCTTGGTACTGCAGAGGCCAGAAGAGGGTTTCAGATCCCTCTAACTGGAGTTAGACAGTTGTGATCTGTCATGTGGATGCTGGGAACTGAACTCAGGTCCTCTGCAAGAGCAGCCATCTCTCCAGCCTCCCACCCTTTTTTTTTTTTAATGTCAACATTTTAACAAAGTAGAGGCAAACTGCCTGTGTGGGAACTTCAAGTCTTGTCATTTCCTAGCTGTATGATCGAGAACAAGTTACATAATCCCTTTATGTCTTATCTGGAAAATGGGAAGAAAAATAGTATCAGTCTAGTAATATTATTTTGAAATTAAGTGAGTTAATATCTATAAAGTAAATATTACCATCATTCCCTCTATTTTATTAGCCTTTGAAATCAGACTCCTTAGGCAAGGAGACCTGGGGACCCTGTAAATGGGTTTCAGAGACTAACTTGGTGTTAGGTGTTGAGGGAGGGAAAGAACTCAGACCCTTTGTAGTATGAAACACTGAGACCCTTGAGGGGTCTA